GAGGCGTTGCAAACAAACAAAGCTCAGGACTTTTGGCAAAAACCAACTAACCAAACGAAGCTTGTAGTTTAAAAGGCAATTTATCTTTGACTTTTGGAAAGTAAATGCCCGCCATTGTTTAAAGTGGTTCAATCGCCAGAAATCCCAAATTCAGTTCCAGACATTCTATGTGCGGATATGTGTATGCGGTGGTGCGGTGGTGTCGGTGGCCCCCGGGATTGCTCGGGTGGGTTTGCTCAGCTTATGTGTGTCTGTCGGGTAAGCGCTTTTAACTAGTTCTCGTAGCGCTGCTAGCAAAATTTCGAGCATTCTCAACCACTCAATTACACACTCCACACACGCACACACAGGCTCGTGCACGCACCCACACACACACACACACACGCAGACTGGCGTAATCAATTGAGCTGGCAGGCAAAAGGCACTAGGCAAACAATGGGCATTATACACCAGAAGTTACAATGGGGTGGGTGCACCAGAGACTTTCTCATAAATTTCTAGAGGCATTTGGAAATTGCATTGAAAAACGCACGTAAAACTATTTGAGCTGCTAACCTAAATAAATAAGCGACGGCAACTATCGCAGATGCCCGCAGCAAAAACAGGAAAGCTAAACTTGAGATCAACTGCCGAATATTCAATACACTTCCATCTTTGAGTTACCACATTTTGAATGGTTTAGTGGCCATACTCAATAGTAATAAAATAAAAAAAAATAGAGGAAATTGCAGAATATTCAATACCCTTCTGTCGAAAAAATAATAAATAATAAAGATTTTAAAAATAAAAAATAAATACAATAAAATAATAATAAAAATTCAAAAATAAAAACAAAGATAAAATACACAATATTTAATAAAAATAAATAAAAAAAATAGAATTAAAAAAATTTACTCTTCCAACATTTCATTTGATTGGATTTTGAGTAAATATGCTAAAAGTCAATAAATAATCCAATTGATTGGGCTTTGAATATATTTATTATATTTTATTTTTTAAGAGTTGATGCATGGCTGATAAACCAAGCTCTTTTATGCCTGTTTGGCAAATATTTTTGTGTTTAATTAAAAAGAAAAATTCGATCTTTAAAATTCGGAATGCTTCTATAATTTGTCTATTTACAAATACAGTTATTTGCCGTAATGAAACATGACTTTTGTGTATTTAATCTGAAGCATCACATATGTGATGAAGATTTTAAAATACCCTAGCTAGGGTGTTAATACACTGTAAGCCGCAGCAACGCGACTTCAATTGGAAGCCCGGGCATGCAAGACATTTCTAAAACTGCAAAATGTGGGCAAAGAGAGAAAGAGAGAGCGAGAAAGAGAGAGGAAGTATGTGTGTGTGTGTGGAGAGTGCGAGCGGGCGAGCGGGCGCCGCCAATGAACTGTGCGGTGCAGGCAATCAATAGATGCGGCTGCAACTTGAGATACAAGATACTTGCAGTGCAACCGTGGAGCTTCCCACATGCTTGTGCGGAATGCTATGGAATGTGCACACGCATCTTCGATTGCCATGCGATGGACTGGGATGCCAGTGGCGGTGGGTGCTGTTGCGCAGCTCCACTGTGCGGCAGTGGCAGTGGCAGTGGCAGCTGCAGTGGGTGTGGGGCAGTAGCTTACATTTATGCGCGAAATTGTCGTATACATTTGCACATTCATAAATTCTTGTTGAGCGCCCCTAAAGCGACAGGCGGCAAGAGCCCCTTTCTGTTGCACAATTGTGGAGTGGGCGGTCGAGGGCAACGCAGCCGCAAGTAGCAAACGGCAAGCGGCAGGCATAGTTGCTCTAAGCTGTGCTCCCGTGTCCCGTGCTCCTGCTGGCATTAAAACTTCATCTTAATTTTATTTTGCTCTTATTTTATTTTCTCTGCTTTTTTTTTGTTTGCTTGCGCGTTTTATTGCTGCATTTCATGGCAACGTGGGGCAACCTTAGAACAGCACGTCATTAGACGATAAATTATCTTTCATGTGCGCTGCATTTTGCATAAAATGTTGCCATGGTGCCGCCGCAAAACTGTGCCAACAGCTGTGCCAGCCGCGTTGCAGCTGAGCCTGCAGCCAGAATCTGAATCTGAATCTCTGCCGGAATCTGAATCTGGTGCGCGCTAACTGCAACTGGGAGCTGCTGCTTGGGCAGCTGGGGCATTAAAAGGATGCCAGGCAATTTGAATTTGTGAAATTCCATTGAGGGTAGCAAAGCCGTTGCCGGGCCTCACTTATCTATGCACAAGATGTTGCCGCTTGATAAGCACAGCGCTGCACAGCAAATCAGCAATTTATGTGCCGCCGCCGCTGCTGCGGCTGCAGCAGTTGCAGTTGCATTCATCATTGACTGCAGCAACAGTTGCTGCATGGAATGCACTGCCGCCATCGACGTGCGTTCAACTATGCAAATTTGTGCTAGCTGCCCCCACCAAGCCGACAGCGTCCAACATTTACTTGCAACTTGCTACAACTTAGTAACTTGCTGTATGCGTGTGTGTGTGTGTGTTCGTGTAGTTGTTGTCAAACAGCATTCAAGCACGATTCTGAGAAACATTCTTGCCCAGTGAGTTGAGTTGCACTGCGACTCCAAGAATTTGTGCATTGCTTTGGCCTCAGCTTTGCCCAGATGCGGAGCAGATTATAAAATAAATGAGCTGAAATTATATTGAAGATTGCGAGTAACGGTCGGGTCGATCGACACACAAAAGCTGACTGCCATGACAGTTCAATCACTGAGATGGTCCATCTTCTGGCGAACTGCTGAGCTATGGCCACCAATTGGTATCAGGAAAATTGCTTGTCCCGGTGATAGCTTCAGCATCTAGATATCATTTAAATAAATGACTTCCAATGAGAACTGCAAATGCTGCACTTCACTGCGAGAATTGCTGCTGCTATTTAAATTCAATATTACACCCATTTAACTCTCAACCGGGCTGCTAATGACCCTTGGCGCTCTGCTGTTGACATCGCCTATTTCAGGTATGATAAATGGCAAAAGGTGTGCCAGGTAATGACAGACCAAAAAAAGAAAAGGCAAGGAAATACGAGTGTAGGAAAATCCAAAGGGGTTGCTGTTCATGAACGAAGTTGAAACATACTTATATTATAGAGAGAGCCTGATAATATAAATAATATTCATAAATTATTTTTAAAAATAATTTTAATTAGTTTAGAATTATTATAATATATTTAAAAAATAAATTAAGGCTAAAATTTAAACTAGCATTTTGCAATTAAATCTTTTGGATATCTTTCTTAGTTTCGATTTTATAGATGTGTAATTTTTAAATATTTCATAAGACACGTTCATATTCCATTTATAATATTCAAGATATATCATATATTCATATATAAGTAAACAAATCACTTGCTATAATTATTTAGACATATGTATGTAAATTAGGCTCGAAAACGTTTGCTTGCTTCCAACACAGGGCATTAAAAGAATCATTTGATTTTTAGAGCCAATTTCGATTTTGAATATCAACTTAAGTCCCCATATATTGGAATGAACCATATTAATTTGTAAAAGATTTTCAGGAATCTTCTGCAGTCTTGCAATTAAATAGGATTGAAATCATTTCTTAAATTTAGTTTTACATTTGTATTCCTATATGATTGAAATTATTCGTACAGTAAGCTGGAGATGTTTTGCACATCTCATCACATCCTCTCTGATAAAAGTGTGTGGCCATCCGTAAGCGTATGCACATATTTGCTGAACTTTGACTATTCGCTGCAGGGCAGCAGTTTCTAAAGTGCAATTTAACGCCCTGCCATTGAAATAATTATGCCATAACAATTACGTTTTGGTTGCACATGCAAAGCCACGCCCCCGCCCCCCTCAGACTATTTAGCTGCATGTGCTGTAAAGTTGGCGCATTTAGCGCTGCTGTTGCTGCCGCTGCCGTTGCTGCCGTTGCTGCTGCTGCTGCTGCTGCTGATATGGCATTTGCTTGTTTTAGCCATTGCATTGGCAAGTCCAAGGAATTTTCATGCGTCAAATTGCCGCATGTGCATTGCGTGTAATTACAGCAATAAAAATTGCTACACATTGCGTACAAACATGCAACATATCAACGGGCTGCACTTGCCACTCGCCGCTCGCATTTTGATCAGAGAGCCCTGGCCATATTTTCAGCTGTGTAGCAATTATCTTATTTATTTCACTACATTTATCAAACACTGAACAAATTTGAACAGTTTCCCTAGAACTCAGCGATGCAGTCGTCTTGCCAGTTACAAACGGCTCGTTAGCCCAGTTGGCCACAAGTGAGTGCGCACTGTGGCGGCTGGCTGCCACTTGGGTGGCCCTAGCTGGAGCGGAACGCTAGTTGATTGCATTTTTAGCATAAATTTCAACGCATTTGACTAATGTTTGGCGATTTGTTATTGTTGGAGATGCAACCAATGCTCGCCTTTGCCACCATTTTTCAACAGCCACTTTAGCTCTGACACCGGGAATGCATTCGGAATGCATCAGCCAATGGGCCAACGGGAGAGCGGGGGAACGGCAGAACTTATTGCAGGTACTCAGTGTCATGTTGTGAGTAGAAAAGTCTCGAATCGTATGCAAATGCCCGTTGCTGTGCTACATGAGAGGGGTGTGCTGCAGTAATGCAACATTAAGTATACGCACTGTGCGAGTGCTACTTGCCTGGGAGCACGACGGCAAGGCGCTTGCATTGCCAACAGCAACGAAATTAATTAACGGAATGGCCTCAGCACGTACCACATAGTCACAGTCAGAATTGCCACCGCCAGCAGCGGCACCAAAAATATTAAAACTCTCGCCCAGCACGGCGGCTTGCTTCTTGGCATTTTCAGTCCATTTAGGGCATTGTTAAGTGAAGTATATAGAAAACTTCCGAGTCACACAACAAACAAAAAAAAGGAAACAACTTTTTTCTCTATATATTATCTACTTTGTTTTTTGGCTGTTTAAAGTGTACTAGTTTCTTGTTGACACAATTTTCAACTCAAGCCCTTTATTTGTTTTTCTTGCAGTTGCTGCCGCTACACAATCGAAAAACTCAACAACATTAAAGCCGTATATACAGATCAAGAAGCACGCCGTCACAAGACTGACCATAACCAATCCAAATGCAACCCACTTACTGCACTGCAATCCCATCATAAATCCTTATGACTACTACCAGGGTAAGTGAACGAGACACTCTGCTCTTGTTGTTCTATGGCTTTGATTGACCTCTCTCGCTGCAGACGGCGCTCCCATTTACTGCAGCTGGTACCGCAACGGCGAGGCCATCGAGCACTTGGCCATACGCAACAATCAGTTCTTCATCTATAAGAATGGAACGCTGCGACTGCCGCCCAATGAGCGCATCAGCGGCGTCTATCATTGTCTAATTGAGTCAGATGACATGAAAGTCATATCCGACAGCATCACGGTTGAATATCCAGGTGAGTCTAACTCAGATCCCATACGATCTTACACAATTTAACACACTTAATTTAATCTTATTCTTGCAGTGTTGAAACGTCTTGTGCTTGGCCCCCAGCAGAGCGCCAACGTAAGCGTCCAGGCGGAGGGAAACCTTGTGCTCGGCTGTCCTTTTTTTAGTGTGCCCGCTGCTCGCATCAGCTGGTACTTTGGCAACGAGTCCTTGGCGAATGATAGCAGGCGAGTAAAGATCAGTGTTTGGACACCGAACGCGCAGCGGCTGGAGCTTGAACAGCTCTGCTCCACTAGAATGCCTTCTGCTTATTTCGGGGGTTTCAAAAACGCTTGGCATGCTTCACTTTGGATGTCACCTGATATTAATATATTTTCTCCATTTTGCTCTTCCCTTTATTTTCCACAGTGCTTTTATCCTGAGCAACGGCACGCTCATAGTGCGCAAGGTGCGACAGGAACAGGCTGGAAAATACAAGTAAGCCATGAAATTAAATATGCTGCAAAATAATTTGTTGGTTTCCATTAAAGCTTGAGTATCATAGTTGATTTCTAATAATATATCTTTGTTATGGAAAATTATTTCTATCAGTTCCCTCAAAATATACCTCATATCTTTCATAACATCCCTTGAATACAGTAAACATGAACCCTCACTAGTTTTGACTACTCATTTGACTGTAATATATCTAGTCAATGGAAAACAGCTCTTAATTTATCCCAAGAAGAGTTTAAAGTTCGTTAAAAATGAAAACATTTGGCTTTTTATTTCTAAATGATGGAATTGTCTTGGGCATTTCCGTATTCTTAATTCAGGCTTCTCATTGATATATTGTCAGGTTGTAAGCTATCAACAAAGAACTTAAAAGTCTGCAGTAAAAAATAGTATGAGAGTAGAGAAAGTTTATAGGTTATTTAAAGAATAATTTGAAAAATATAGTTAGAAATTCTATATTAGTATTTAAAGACCTATAAACTGCATCTTATTAATAAGAGTCTATAATCCTTAATGATACTTTCAATAGGCTTGAAATAGATGCGAATATAAAGAGTGTTTTCTTTATTCCTTTATAAGTTTTTTAGTTAGTTATCTATGCGCACAGCAATTAAAAACATACATATATTAAGTTTAGATGCGTAATCATGTCGTATTGAAATCCAATATATTTCAACACGCACGAATCCATTGACTGGTTCTGCTCAACACATTCCGTTCATGTTTGCTTGGAGTTGTTCAGCCAAATCGTATTTCTTGTAGCTGTATCTCATTTGCTGTGAGGTGCAAATTATAATTGGTTATTGCTACTGTTGTTGCATATCAACACCTTGGCCACAATTCATCAATTCATCAGCAACCCTTCTGGAGGTGCTCTCTCCCTCTCCCTCTCCCTCTCTCTGTCTCTGTCGCTCCTCGACTCTGCACTGCATTAATTAACACCATGCACTGGCCGACTGACTGGCATAATTGTGTGCACTGTCCATGCCAATTAATGTGTGTGAAATATTATCCGTTGCAGATGCGTGGCCAAGAACCAGTATGCCAGCAGAACGCACCGTCAGTTCGTGTGGCTGGTGCGTGTCGAGCCGAATACCAGCGGGCCACAACCACTGGCCACAACGACAACGCATCTGTTGCCAGCCTTCCAGAATGCCACACTGTTTGTGCCCACGGGAGGGTCGCTGCAGCTGCAGTGCCACGCGATGGAGGACTATGTGCCCATCGAATGGTGGCTGCAGCATCCGAACAACTCCCTGTCCCAGCTGAGCAACAATAGCATGACGCTGGAAATAACGAACGCCAGCATGGCCCGGCATGAGGGGTACTACATGTGCACCACGCCCACAGACAGGCAGACGTTCCGGGTGATAGTCACCATTCCGCCGAGAATAGTTAGCTCGCTGCCCGTGGAACTGGGCTACATCAGTTTGTCGACAACGCTCAGCTGTCGTGCTGAGGGCAATCCGGAGCCAACCCTCAGCTGGTACCACAATGGCGCACCGCTAAACAGTTCCTATACACGCTACATCAGTGGCAACGAGCTGTACATCCACTCCTTCGATCCGGAGGAGGAGGGCATCTATCAGTGTTTCGCGCGCAATGTTGCTGGCGAGGATTCCGTCACCGGCGAGATGCGCTTCAAGCACCAGCTAGAGCAGCCGAATCCACTGCAGAACATACGCTGCTACCCGCACAGCTTCCACACCATCAATGTCACCTTTGACAGCCGCACCTTGGAGGTAATTTGTCAGCCACATGACAGCATCTGAGTTGAATCTCGCTAATTCTGTGTGCCTCTCTCCGCAGTCGATGTTCGTGGTGCACATTGTGCGCAGCAATCCGCATCAGTGGAGCTCGTTTGCGCCCATGAAGCTGAATCACACCTCGTTTGTGGTGATATCAACTGGTCTGCCCATCTATCGTCCGTTTGCGCTAATCACCCGATTCCTGCTGCCAACCTCGGAGGTGCGCTCGGGCAGCATAGTGCCACAGCAGATGATGATTAGCTCGCTGCGCAGTCCGGCTGTTGTCTGCTGCACCCAGGGCTGTAAGTTGATTAGCAGCAACCAGCTAATCCGACTTAGATGTTAATCTCATTTATCTTTAACGCAGTGCTGCTGCGGCTGGTACACCTGGGCAACGACACCTTTGTAAAGTGGTCGCAGGCGGAGCTGGACAACAAAAAGTATTTCATACTGCAGTTCTCCATCAATCACACGCATCCGCATCCCGCCCAGCTGCTGGACGGGCCGCTGCATGGCACCGTCACGGCCGTGGAGGAGAAGCCAGACGAGGTGCGTCGCCAGCTGACCATCATTCGGCCACTCAATCAGTCGGCTGCTGCCACAGTGCTGCGTAATGCGGAGCACGAGGTGCTGGACAACGAGGTGGACGACCTGACGCTCGAAATAGAGGAGGACATCTTCAGTCTGGTGGTGGATGCCAACGTCACCGGCCTGCTCCTGCATCACTTTACTCGCATCAAGATGCGTGTCCTGATCATCACCAGCGAGAACGAGTATCTCGCTCAGGACTTTCGCTATGTACAGTGGAAGATTGTGAGTAGACTGTACTGTAGTGGCAAGTTGCAATGACGACTTACCTTCGTCTCATCTGAGCCATGTTGGCTTCCCTTGGACACGAACTAAAGTCTCTCTTTCTCTCTCTCTCTCTTTCTCACTATTTGTATTCCCTGCAGATCGAGAACGGCACATCCGATCAGGCGAACATGTCCTTTCGCCTAATTACTGTGGAGTCACGCATGCTGGCCTTTCAGTTCCTGGACAGCCTCAATGACACCTGCGTCTACGAGTGCCACCTGCACGTGCAGCTGCCGCTGCGCAAGCAGGAGCCCAAATGCAAGGAGCGCACCATTGTCAACTCGGTGCTGCTCGTCTCGGGTCTCAGTGCCAACGAGCGCTACAATTTCCACTTCTACAATTGCAAGCCGCAAATCTTCTACGGCGAAATGGATGTGCAGACGCTGCCAGACCGTAAGCCCTAGTTTTACATAATATATTTGTGTATTTTCATAATTCATTATCGTATCATTTAGCGCCCGGCACTATCAGCAATTCGCGCGTGGTCAAGCACAATGGCCTCAAGCTTATATGGGAGCCACCGCTGCATCCCAACGGACGCGTCCATCACTATAATATTCTCTGGACTCTGGGCAATGTGACACACGAGGCAAATGTGCTAGAATGTCGTCCTTGTTTCTATAAGGTAAGGCAGAGGATATTATATAACCCAAATGCTGAAAGCTAACTCAACTGAACCATCTATCTATGAGTAAGATGTGAAGCTAATATCCAACATATCTTCTATCTATTACTCTATCTTTTCTGCCTTAAACTTATATTTCCTTTCCATTTCCTTTGCAGTTTCCCAATGTTTCGGAGACCGACAAGATTCATGTGGCCGTGCGTGTTGTTGGTGAGACGGGCGTGGGCGCGCCCATGTTCTTTGACTTGATCAATCATCACATACTGGAAACGGTGCAGAACTCCTCGAATCATGAAGTCTATAGCGGCATCGCCATCGGCTCGCTGCTGTCGATGCTTTGTGTTTTTGGCTTTGCGCTCTTCATCATATTTCAGAGGCGTCGATTCAAGGCACGCGTCCCGGGGCCCACGCATTTGACCACGCCCACAGACATCAATTTCGGCAATCTGAGCAGTGCCTCGGGTATACCGGGTGACAGTGCCGGTGGCCTTAGCGGCAACACAATGCAGCAGGACTGCCACGAAATGCAGACACTGATTCCGCGCTCCCGCTACCACATCGAGCTGCTGCCCGAGCGCACGCTGGAGTACCAGACGAGCACAGCGACGGCAGCAGCGTTGCCGAATGGCAATGGCAATGGTAACGGTAACGGAACGGCGGTACGGCGTGCGGATCAGGAAGCACAACTGGAGCTGACCATTGCGGGCGTGCACAACCTATCTCAGCTGCCACTGTGCGCCAGCTCGCCGGAGCGTAAAACTGTGCAGGATGCCATGCTGCAAGAGGCAAAGGCCTTCTACATACCCTACCGCCACACGCCACCGAATGCAGTGGCGCTGCAGGCAGGCGGCAGCAGCAACTCCAATGCCAGCCACAAGCAGAGCTCCTCAAAGAACAGCGACAGCGGCCTGGAGGTGGCAGTGCCGCCCAATTCGCTGCCGCTGGTGGCCACTGTGCCGGGGCTGGGACGTCGCAGCGGCAGCTTGAGCAGCAGCAGCGCCAGCAGCACCAGCAACGGCAGCAAGAAGCAATTCCATACAAATTTTGCGCGGCACTCGAATTCCAATGATGGCATCTGCCTGCTGGCCGAAGAGGAGTCGGCTGCGACGCTGACGCCGACATCGGAGCATGAGTACGCGTGTGTTAGTCTCACCAACGGTTTCAAGTTGCCCGCCGAAATGACAAAGCAAATGCCGAGCAAAAGCCAATTTAGCAACAACAATAACAGCAGCAGCAGCAGCAGCAGCAACCATAAGTCAACTGTTGTCCAGCAGAAGGATCGCCATCAGCAGCCGATGCCGCAGCAGTATCCCTCTGCATCCATAGTTCCTGTCAACGGGCCACAGACTCACTCTGTGGGCGTTAAGAGCAAAAAGACGACGACAATGGCCAAGCAGGCGTGGCCAGCGTCTACGGCCCTGAATCGGCGTGCCCAAGTCGATCCAAATGGCTGAGCCTGAATAGCTGGCATTGTCGTCGTCGCCTCGCCAAGCAAAAGTATTCCATGCAACACTACTACACATACACTTACACTTTACTCTACACACACACACACACACACACAACACACACACGCACCAACACACATACACATTCGCAGCTCGAAACATTCCAAACATTGTGGATCCCTATATTTGCATTAGTTCAGTATAAGGACCCATACATACATACATAAGAATATGCTTAGTTATATGAAGTACATTTTATAAATGTATTTATTTATCTTTATCTCTATCCTTATCTTTATCTTCGAGAGCTAAAGTCGAACCATGAGAATATGATAATATACGAGAATATACGTACATAAGCAGCATATTTATATACATATATATACATACATATATACATATGCATGCATATATATAAAAGCATATTTAGTTTACTTTTAAGCACATGAACGTTTTTAAGCTTGTTTAGTTTTTGTTTGTTTTCTTTTGTTAATTGAGGCTAACTATAATTATTATTTTAATTTGTAGTAAACGTTCTCTAATATGAATTTATTAAACTGCCGTAGTATTCTATTACAACACACATAGCCAAAAAGTCAAACAAATATGCAATAGCCCAGTTCATATATACACACATATACACACACATTTTTATACATATACACACGTACATTCACACTCACAATAGTCACAATAGTGTTCATATCGATTTACTGCAAATAATTACCCATATCAATAATTCCATTCATATTTAAGTAAAATATATAATTTTCGCATTTTAACTGCTGCATTTTGCGTTTTGTTTGAGCATTTCTCATTTGTTTGTTTATATTATTTGTTTAATTTTTGTTTAACCGATATATCAAATGTACCTGATTATATTCATTTTGCATTTCGTTAAGCGCTCATTTCCAGCACCGGAACACAAAACAAACAAAAAAACAAACACGCATATTGCATTTCGATTCTATTTAAATAGACCTTTTGTTAATGCCTCACACGCATTTCAAATGTACCGCAGCCGTATTGAACGAGTCTATCCCAATTACCGACTGTACCTAGTTCGTACAAACAACTAAACCTCTAGCTATGTCACACACACACACACACCATACACAAACACACATAAAAACAACATCATATATTATATTTCTATAAGCATTGAAAGTTATATAAGATGTATTTAGCATTGAGCGCAGAATTTAAAATGAGCTCATCTATAATATGTATTTTGTGAATTGTTGTTCAATGTTCAAAAACCAATGTGAAAATTGTTATAAAATACACAGATACACGCATATGCGCACACACACATAGCCACACATCCAAACACGCAGACATTCCATTTCATGGACGTATTTAACTAGAGTACATGCATCAAATTCTATTACTGAATGAAATCAAAAAAACAAAAAAGAGTAACGAAAAAACAAGTAGACAAAAAGTTATATTAAGCCAATTCAATTAAACAATATTTGTACGATTCCATATTGCAAGAATGTGTTTACGAACTGTAACTGTATACGTATTTAGATATAAGTGCAATAACACCTATTTAAACCATAAACAAACCCGTCAACCCAAAACCAACAAACCAACCAACCAAACAAAGCTAATCGAAAACTACAAACAATAGTACCTTTCCCATTGGAAATGAACAAATAATATGCATAGAACAGTAAATAGATTACAATATGTGGCTTCCGCAATGGTAAATGTGCTTCTTGACGAAATTATAGCAATGCATAGCTCATTTCCTTCCAAAATTCCCGACGATCCTGTCTTGGAGTGCACTTGCCACATGTGTCCAACAATAGCCAATTCAAATTGTGTTCATTATTGAAATACGCCACGAAACTGGCATTTCAACAGCATTTCGAATCAACTGATATAGCATAGTCTTAGCACATACAAAACTTCAAAGGTGTTCCGTCAAACAACATTTAAGGTAAATAATTGAAGGCTCAGTAAAAATTTTTATGATCGCATTCAAATCAAGCTAAACAAAAACTATTCCGTAAATGAACTCAAAATTCCTAAAACAAAAAGAGAATTTTAAACAAAAATTAAATATATACGAAAAGAAATATTATGCAGCAAAAGGCAAATTATATGTATTTAATTCAAACAATATATAAAAGTAGATCTTAAGAAATACATTTAAACAAAAGAAGAGAAGGAAAATACCACGATAAGAATGTGAAATTAAAAAATTAATAACTGCGATTGTGATCGCTGTGTAAGTGGATGTGATAAATGTTTAAAATATTTAAGCGCAAAAACAATAAAAAAAAACAGTATGAAAATAATTATTCGATGGCATAAAAATGCGTATTGCGACTTTTACATAGATGTTTTTGGCTAAAGCGAAACCAATAAAAAACAAAAGAAAAGAAAAAAAAAAAAAACAATTACTAAGAGAGAGTCCACTAAAATTGTAAGGAAATCATGTTCTTAACTCTTTGATAATGCTGATCCTAATCATTATTTGAATTAAGCATGTTCTGTACGTAATTTTAGTTTGGGTCTTAAGTTCTCATTGTGTATACCTCATTAGTGGAGTGGAAATTAAATTGTAACTATATTATATGTATTTAGCTGGTTGCCCCATCTGTAATATATATTTAATTCTAAATTGCTTCAATTCGGACGAAAGATAAAAATTGAAAATAGAATCGAATGTATTTTTTATGTAATTTATATACATTGTATATGCTACAACCATATTATTGTATTAGATGTGGAAACTCAGCTGGAAAATATGCGATATATGAGATATATATATTATATATATATACATACGATCGTGTTAAAGTTTTCGGTGCCAGTAATTTGACATACCAACCAGAAATTAGCGCGGCTACAGAGTCTAATAACATGTAACGATGATTATATACATATATATACGTGAAAAGGTGAAGAACGCTAGAAAAGCATCCTTAACTATTGGAAAGAAAAACAAAAATATATTAAAACTAAGTTATGACAACAAAACAATTAATACAATTTGCGTTTTTTTATTAACTATAAACGTTAAACGTACTTTTATTGGTAAGTATATACAATAAATCTTTCTTAAATGTAAATCTTTAGTAACTCTCAGTACTTAACAGGTTTGTATACAATATCAAATGGACTTAATATCAATATCAATGCCCATACATTTTAATTTTTTATTTCGATGGTAACGTTTAACGGTGTTGTCCATTTACACAATTATACAACATTATCAATTTCAGCAAAGTTGTATAAATATATAAATCTTCCTCCATATATAGAGCTTTCACGGGGCGATGGTATATGCTAGGTACCTGTACAGTACTATTTAAAGTATAATATGATCACATCACAACTAATTGAACAAATGATCACAATACAAAATCGCAAATGTTGCCATAACCTACGTATATATTTATATTTACATATATATAAATGAAATGAGTTTAAGTGCTAAATGGCATGCTGAAACGCATCTTCTTGAGTGTCTGATTGAATGAGAAAATCTTTGAAACTTATCTTTCGCTCTGCCAAGATCTATTGACGGTATAGCCGAGACGGAATCAATCACAATTATTGATAAGGTCTATTTAACTCAATATTTTAAGCATGAGTAATTCCAAAAAGACAAGAATCTAAAATTTAAGTCAAATTTCCCCTAAATGATTAATTACGAATCAATTAAAAAGCAAAAACAAAAAGGAAATACATATAATAAACTATGCTATGCTATGCACCACAACAAGAAGAAGCGCTTAGGTGCGCATAATTATCGGGCAACTCATAGTTGTAAGCCTATTCACATATCGATTCCAATTCATTGAGGTCCTGCTGCATGTATGTAACATATATGGCTAACGCTAATTGATGGGCAGCTCAGCACACCTTTTTAATCATTTTCACCAACTCTTTGTACAGAATGCAGTCCCGACTGCGTGGCTTGCAAATCTCGCGATGATCCAGCCGTATGCCGCATACTTCTCCAAAACCGGGATCTGTTTAATGTGTTAAGATTAATTATAATATATGTGATTAGCTTATCAATCTAACGCAGCTTACCTGCTGAATCCACGCCCACAATTCGTAAATAGAGCACTGACATGAGCGTCAGAGCTGTTTCAACAAAGCTGAAAACTTCGATCTTCAAATGACCCAAGTGATAGAGCCCAGCAAAGCGACGATGCAAATCCAGCAGATATTTATTATCTATCAATTAAAAGTTGAAGGCGTATAGAAGAACTGGTAACGGATTAATGTACAACATCGACATACTCTTTTCTATCTCCAGCAGCTCTACGGAACGCGATAGCAACGGCGCCTTGATCGAAGCCAAATGGGAGCCACGGTGCGGCACCGAGTAGAAGAAACAGCCTCGCGCAGATTGCCAGAGCGGCCTCATGGCCGGACGACCGCACTCCCAGGCATCCACGAGCAGTTGCTTGATGAAAAGGCCTCCTTTGGAGTGGCCCACGTAGATGATGGGATGCCCGTGACCAACGCGATGTTGCATGAGTAGCTCGGCCATTTCCCGTGAACGCTGAATCAGGCTGGAGCGCGGCTCTTTAGTCTTCCACAGCGGACGCCACAGATAGGGATCCGTTGTATAGTTGACAGCTATGACCCTGACGCCTGGACAGTCTAACGGTAGCCAGTCCCCGGGCCAGCACTTGGAGTAGTTAGGGTCATTGGCGGAAGGTTTCTTTTTGCTTTTGCCGGCAGATTTGCGCGTCGTGGAGCTGTCCATGGCGGCGCTGTTATTATTCTCGGCCTGCAGCATCGACTCTAGCTCAGCTGGCAACGCCTGGCTGCTGTCGTGCATGCGCAGACGGAATGTTGGGAAGCTGTACTCGATGCCTTCGCATATTTGAATATCTTCCGGCTCCCCGCAGACGTAGGCATAACTGTGGGAGAAATACGAATATGTGAATGCCCATAGAAAATAACGCAATATTCCACTTCTACTCACTCTTCGGCAATCTCATTACTGTCGGAAGCATTGCAGAGATGTGGCTCAGTCGTTTGTTGCACCGCTGCGCGCTGCCAGCCTCCATCTACGCTTGTGGCATCGTCATCCAGGCTGCGAATGCAGGATGCGAACTTGGCCCGTTTCTCCCGAGGCGCTGGATGTATTGCGGCGCTGCGTGAATAACGAGGTCGCTTGGGTGGACGCACCGGTGGCCGAGGCGGACGATCGAACTCCACCGGATGACGTTCGTTTTGCCACAGACCCTGGCGCCAGGTGTTCACCAGAGAGCCGTGCAGTCCATGCACAAGCACGATGTCAGCGCGTATGGGAGTGCCCGGCGCCGGTTCGGCAAGTATGTTGAGCGTGCAGCAGCTGGAGGAGCTGGAGCTTGAGCTCTGAAGACTGTAGATAGGCGGCCCCTGCAACAGTGTGCTGGGCGTTGTGGGCGTATTAGGCGGTATGGGTGTGATCGGTATACGTGTGTTCAGCGTATCGGGCAGAATTTCCAAGCCATCTTGGGACTTGCGCAATTTGAGTAAATTGAGCAACGGCCCTAGACGATTGGAAACTGTCAATGAAAGAGATTGCGGGTTGAGCGATAAGAATTTGATATAAAAAGCTGAGAATGGTGGTATGAGTATGATGAACCGATGAACAATTGGGTAACTGAGGCCATGCTATGCACTTCAAGTACTAACCTTGTACGGAAGATAGATTCAGCGATAACGTGTTGGCGGCAAATGCCACCAGGTTGGTCAGCGCCTGGCGGCTAGAGGTCAAATTCTGCAGCACGCGTAGCACGCGAACGTCGCGTATGCCCTTAATGCCGCGGGCGACGCCATTGGCCAGAGGCAGCACCAGGCGCACCAGGACGCCAAGGACGACTCGCATGCTGCCGCTGTTATGGCTGTCACATAGAGAGCAGCAGACATGAGTAAGTGATTATGTAAGACATTGGGCAAATACTTACGGTTGCATCAAGGCGTCGCCGCTGGAGGAGCGCACCAACTGATTGATCGCCTGCTCCTCCTCCTGGCGGTCGATTTCCATCTCCTCTCTGCCATTGCTGATTGCTGTATTGTCCAGTGCCTGATCAGTGGCTTGACCTGCCGTTTGGTCAACTTCCTCGGCTATGCTCATCATCGCAATATTGCAGACGTAATGCTCATCTATTGACTCAAACTGAGACTCCTTAATATTACTGTAGTTGTTGTCGCTGCTGTTGCTGTTGTTGCTGTTGGCTGTGTTGGGTTGAATGTGTGCGCTGCTACTGTCGCTGACTTGTAAATCTGCGCTGAATAATGCACTGGCTTTGTTATGGGCTTCGCGTTTAGTGAACATATTTATCAGTGTTCTCTATTAGCTATTCGCCGTCTCGATCTGCGCCGCTGGCTTGCCGCCAATTAGCACAGACTCAACATGTTGCCAGTGAAGGGCCGCACACTAAACTGCAAATAAATTTGAATTCAACTTTAATCATATGCACTCAGTTGGCTGCCAATGTCAATGTCAATGCGCTGCACTCTTAGTGCAATCAGTACTTTGCACTCGTTTGTCTTCTCTTTTTTTGTTTACCACGCAAAAGACGGTGTCGCTCGCCAGTCTAAAAATATGGGCGCACTAGCGCAGAACGGGGCTGCATAAAAGCAAGTATACGACTCGTGTGCCACGAATATCTAAGCAATCTGCCTGACGAGTAAAACGAACTGCTAATAGCTAATTTTCTCTCCTCTATTCCCTCTATTTCGCCGGGCTATGGAATTTACTCAATTTACAAACAGTACTCCACTGTATTTAAAAAGACATATTCGACTCTAGTAAGCCACCTACTATGATATTACTAAAACATTTACATCAAATACAAAATTTTTCAAAATTTCATAAAAAACAACTCTTGTTTGAATTTAATATGACAGCTAACTAAATAAACGCCTAAATATTTTATGTAATAAAATTCAATTAAAAATAATTTATTTAAAGTGTAAATGTGAAGTTTTGAATCTTCTATCTTAGTCTTGAATCTTTAGTTTTCAAACTCCATATATTGTTCACTTTAGTTGTCCCCATCATATAGAAACCCAACTATGATTGTTTGTTTCATAAAAGAAATTGTCAATGCTTGCTAAGACAATGTCAGTTTGTGCTGTCAGTCCGATTGCATATGCAACAATATTACTCATACCACCCGTAGGTCCGAGGCACATTACATTTGCAATTTCCCCGCTACGTTTTCCATTAGATAACCAACAGCGGCCATAAGGGCAAAAAAATCTAAGCGTGTTACGTTGACTGCTGTGCCATGCCTCAACCGAGCAGCAAAAATTCAAGTTGAGGGTCGTTACATGGGCCACGACACAGAAATACAAAAAGGGCAAAGCTTGTTGCATGTGTGTCAGCACAATGGCTTTTGTTATTGCAGCACCTTTTGTTGTTCTAAATTGCACT